CTTGAGTTGGAAGAATCAGTCCCATGGACAGCTGGGGGTTTAGGCAATGCTTTAGTTGGTGTGGATCAGTTACTAAATAAAATACTGAACTCAGCACAAAAACTGGAGCGTGAAGTCAATAACAATAGATAAGGCTAGGAGAGAAAAAAACCAAGTGGGTGTCAGCTTTCTGACACCACGAAAAGCTGGGAGGTTACTTCGCCGTGCAATGAAATAGCTTCATGCACAGAATGCAGCCTGCATACCAGGAGGGGATTAATTTTTATGAGCAGAAATGGAATAAAAAATTCTTTAAATTAAGCCCACATGTATAAAATGAAGAAAGGCTGCAAAGAGGCTCATCCTTTAGGGAGTGTCAGCTTCGAAAGGTTGGGGAAGGCCCAGCTGTGCCCCAGCAACTGGTACCCCACGAACTATGACAGATATTGGACCTGGCCCCCTGCTGCGATACTATGGGGGCTGTTTGCAAAGTGTGGGGGGGTGGTCCTTGTCCAGTTGGGTTGTGACATTTGGATTCCACTTGGCTGCATTTCAACTGCACATATTGAAAATTACATCCCTCAGCAGTGGGATGAAGTTGCCATCTTGAATGGAAGAAGCTCTATTTATAATGACTTTGTAGATATTTTTAAAGGCCAGTAAAAGAAAAAAGCATGACAGCTGGCCCTTGTCTAATGTGACAAACAATACTTTGTAGGTTTTAATTGGGAATAACCACATTTCAGCATAGCACAGGTGCACGCTCCCGCGTGCACAACGTGGTAACAACTACCCTTTCCCTTACTGAGTTGCCCACAGCTGAGGAGACAAGGCTCCCATGTTACACCAAGATCCCCCTTTGTCACAACTGTGGGAATTTTCAGAATAAAGAAAAAAACCCAAACAAATCAGGGTATAATTGAGACTAAAAAATATCCTGGTTCATTTTCCCTCCTATAGCCAGTCTGCTGATAGTTTGAAGGAAAGCTTGCCATGGCAGAAGACCACTTCTCTCCCCCCTAAGGAGTGCCTGATGTATTCAGAAACACAAGTGGGGACATCAACTAGTGTGATTTAGGGTCATCTCTGATCTCTCAGGACAGCGGTGGAACCAGATGTCCTGCTCATCTCTCCCTTCTGAACTAATTTGAATACAATAAATGGTCACAGTGAAATATGGACTAATTCTGCTTTCTATGAGGTCCACCTAGCCAAACTATTGATTGTGAAGGGAAGAAGATCAGACCCTCTCTGATAGGAATATTCATGGTAATTAATCACTTATGAGTCATAAAATTCAAACAGGTTCATTAAAATGTATTGTTAATGATGTCTCTTCAGGGTTTTCCTTTTCCACGTTAGAGTGTTCTTGTAGGATGCCATCTGAAATGTAGCATTTGTAGGAATACTGCACTGCCTTAAGTACCAAGACATGTTGCATGGGTGGAGTGTTTGACTCATATTCACCAGCAAACAGCAGCAGATGAACAAACAGGTATGGCTCTTATTTAGGGCATCTGCAGTTCTTCCAAGATGACCTCACCTGCAAACTGGCATCATGACTGTGTAAATCTGAAATATGTTCTGTGCAAGGGCTGTGGTACAATGACACTAAATTCTAACAGTAATACAGAAAATGAGGGTAGTGATGAGACTGCTCTGTCCAATGTTTGGAAAACACCACTCTTCCTCTTTGCTGAAGGAGGGCAAATTTCTCAGGTTTGGGAGCATGACCACCATTTTCATCAGGCCAAGACATCATCCCTATCATTTCTTCACCACCTTTTTCCAAGTTGCCTCCTGCTGTTCTTAAACTATGACACCTATCAATAAAATAGTCACCTCTATATCAACTACAGATCATCAACTCTAGTCCCACCTATGGCCTGGAGGGACTGGGCAGGTACCCTGTGTGCACAGGGGTAACCCCACACCAGTAGAAGTCACTTTCCAGCAGTGTGAGCTACAAGAGATGACAAGGCAAATACTTGGGCTCTTCCCTGATGCTGTGAAATGGCCTAACACGGACTTCAGCCTCCTCACCCCTCTCATCGACCGGAGACGAAGGTTTTCACTGTTCTTAATGTGTGTGATGCTGCCCCAACGTGCTGCTGGCTTCTAGAAGTTCTGCTGCATGGTTTTCACTATCCAGAGGACAGACCACTTGTATCTCCAGAGGAGGCAAGGCCACCTTCAAAAGTTTCCTGTCTTCTTGTCCCACAGATAGCTAAGATGCATGAGACAGGCAGTTTAGTTATTTATTTATAGGTTCTTTGGTGACAGTTATCATGGAAGCATCTGAGTGGCAACAAGCCTGATGTGCTAACGAGTGGTGGTGCAACCCTATCTCACTGGCTGACCTGTCCCAGGGAAACCTCTGCAATGGACACCACCGTGTTGTGGAGCAGAGGAGAGCCGGTGTGCCATGGCAGAGGGAGCAGATCCAGCACTCTCCTCCAGCCCTGCCAGCATCCTCCTGCACCAACACACTCCTGCCTTTCCACTCTGTCAGGGCTCCAGAGGCAGATGAAAAGCAGGGGATGGTGGCATCCCATGGCATTTGCTAAAAGCATATGGCTGAAGGAGATGCTGGTTTATTGTCTCTGGTATGGAAAAGAGAAGGCCTTGTCTCTTGACCCTGAATGACATATTAAATATCTGACCACCATTTTGCACAGCCTGGCAATCCAAAGGAGTAGCTGCTGCAGGGGCAGTGCTTCGGACAGAACATGGGCAGGAGAAGGCAGCAGTACAGAGACTTCATCAAAAGACAGGAAAAAAAAATGGAAAACACTGTCCAACTTGCAGAAGCTGTCAGAGATTGATGGATTGCTCTGACTTACTCAGAGTTGACTCTGGGGAAATGGCTATGAGTTGAAGCACTCAAGATGCTGCATCCCATAGGCCCCCTCGCCCCCAGGCATCCCCGTCACTACCTGGCTTTGAGTGATGTTTGGTTTAAAGAGGTACCTGCAGCTAAGGAAAGCAACTGGGAGCATCTCTGCCTGCTTTGACCAATGCACAGGTGTTTTTAGTGTTGTCAGTGAAATTATGGGCAACACACGGCTTCCCTCAACAACTGCAGAAATGATGATTTACAGGTTCAGTCTTTGGGAACTGCCTTTTAAGTTAGATGATCTTAAACTTTCATGTAAAGCAAACTTGGTCCTCTCCAGTCTGGATAGAAGGTAAAGTGGGAATAATTATGAATGCTTTTCTATTTTTTTTGTGTGCCTTTTTTTTTTCTAAAGGAAGAAGAAAAGCCAGAATACTGGAGAAAATCCTGCCTTATGCAGGATATGTTCTCTATTCTCTATTGCTGAATTTATTACATGTATGCTAGAGGCACCCTAAACTAGAAGGAGATTTTTAGAAATTCTTGGTATTTTCTTAAATCAAAAGCTACTGACACAAACGCTACTTTTGGTTTAAAGTATCTCCAAAGCAAACAAGAAAGCACTCTGCAAAGCTGCCAGGAGAAAACATGCTAAAACAACAGTGTGTGAAGCAGCTCATAGTACAGAAAATCTGTTCATACAGACATTTTCATGCAGGCAGCTATTCGTAATGACAGGGATCACCTGCTCCTCTTTCTGCCACATAAAAACCCAGCGATGATTCCAGCAATTGCTTACATGGAAAAAGGGGTAGGAAAATACTTAGATATTTTTAGCTATGTTTTTAAAAAGTTGTTCAACAGCTGGAGAAAGATAGGAGAAACCAACACCATACAGGCAATCACTTGCGGTGGAGGTTAGAAAGTGCTATGTAGACCTCAGTTTCTGAACTTCTGAGGTAAAAGATAAGGTTAAACATCAGGAACAAAGTCTGCGCTCACTTCTTCTGTGTCATTTCATTGAGGATTCCAGATTTTTTTGCTGTGGGAGCGTCAGAATCTGCTTCAATGGGGTCTACTGCTTACTTTGTCTGCTGTATGAAACTTGTAATTGAATCATGGCATGTTGGTTTTCTTGAAAAATAAAAGTAAAAAAAGCTTAGAAAAGAGAAAAGAAAAGAAAAGGAAAAGGAAAAGATGAAAAAGAAAAAGAAAAAGGAAAAAAGAAAAAAGAAAAAGAAAAGGAAAAGAAAAAGAAAAGATGAAAAAGAAAAAGGAAAAAAGAAAAAAGAAAAAGAAAAAAGAAAAGCAAAAAGAAAAAGAAAAAGAAAAAGAGAAAAAAGAAAAAGAAAAAAGAAAGAAAAAGAAAAAGAAAAAGAAAAAGAAAAAGAAAAAGAAAAAGAAAAAGAAAAAGAAAATATTTTGAAGAAGTGAAAAGAGTGAGGGGAAGCAAGGAAGAGAAAGGCAAGGCAAGGGGAAAAAGGTGAAGATGGAAAAAAGGGAAAAGGAAAAAAGGAAAAAGGAAAGAGGAAAAAGGAAAAAGGTAAAGCAGTTGTAACTGTTCTCTTCCTGGGTGTTTTGTGCTGCTCAGACTTGTGAAATGTATCACAGCCTGACTGCTGACCTATTACAACTGCTTGAAGACCTCAGCCAAAAATTCTGATACTGATACAGCAACATATAATCTGCTAAATCTAAAAATAAAGAATGATGCTTAGAAAACAGTGTAAGATTAATTTATTTACAAATATTTTAGCCAGTTATACTTAAAAAAATACTTTTGCTCTGAATACTGAAGAGTGATAAAAGCGTAATTCAGAAATTTCAGATGCGCTGATGCTTTGCTGTTCCTTGGGGGTATTTTTAGTGTTGGCTTTTCCTTTTCTGGAAGCTTCTAATGTAACAATACCTTGCACCACAGTGCTGATGCAGGGATCAGTGGTTCATTAAAAGCTAATCCGTGAGACATTAGGTTTACAAGTGTCACAGACACATTAGATTTGAGAACAAGGAGGAGCAGCAGTGGTGAAAGGATTGTGAATATACAGAGAATATCCCCAGAAGTGGGTACTGCCATTAGTTTTGCAGGAAAGCATTAGTTCTGAAAATTAATTTCGTATGTGAAATTGCCGGTCACAGCTGTTTAGGAAGTGGTATTATAGCAAGTTAGACTGAAATCAATCAAAAGAGGTTTTATTTATTTTTTTCCATTTGAGATTATCTCACTGGTTTAAGCAGCACTCTTTGTACTCAGAAATGCCTACATCTGTAAAAAAATCCACAAAAACTGTAAATATCTATATCAGTCTTGAATAACTCAGCTATCTTCACTTGCACGTGATCTACATACAGCTTTTCAGACTAACTCGCAGCTAATTCCTTAGCTATCAACATCAGTCAGTTATCTACAGGGTTCAATATAGTCTTTATAGAAAGAGAAAAATGGCAGAAACTGCTTTACTTTTCCTCCATGGATAGACGGTACAGATTCTCGCCCAAGTACTCGAGCCTCTCCCTTTGTTCCAGGTCCTGGTACAAGCCTTTGGGGACCTTGCTCAGGCCATAAACCAAGCCGTATAGGCAGCCAGCGATGGACCCAGTAGCCGCGCTTTCTCCTGCAGGTTTAAGCACAATTGCAATGGTTTCTTAGTGTCACCTTCATATACAAACTCAAAAAACGTTCTGCACAGAGGAGGAAATACTATGCTGCTGATGGAGCATGGCAGGGCATTTTGGGTCAATGAGTAACACCAATGCTCCATGTGGTGTCTGCAGGTTTGTGCCTGCTGGGCTCTGCAGCAAGGGGCCTTGAGCTCTCTTAGTTTCTCTATGTGCAGCTAAAAGGTTGCATTGTCAAAGGCACTAGCATTTTGGCAGGGGAAGATGCCAGCCCTTTACTAAGCCATATTTGATTTACTTCTTGTGCACCTCTCAAAACTGTGAGACTTAGATGGAGCAACATTTGAAAAGCGGCATGAACGGCTTGCGTGGCACCTGCTGCCACAAAAAGGGGGGTTGGGGTGTAAAATCAAGGGCGCAGATATAACAGATGGCATGGCAGACTGGCCAAAAGCCAGGAGAGCTCTGTCCTGTCCCCGGACAGGGAGCAGGGGGTGGATGGCATGGGGGGCCCTCACCTCCGTGGAACATGGAGCGGTTGCAGAGCTCGGTCCAGTCCCCACCGCAGCCCAGCAGGGCATCGTAGGCGATCATGGGGGCGTCATGGCCTCGTCTCCCCCCCCGGCCTTCGGAGCTCCACCTCCTGTAGGTCTGCGGGAGAGATGGTGGTGTGTCAGGGTAGGGCACTGGGAATGGGGATGTGGAGTGGATGCTCTCCTGATAGGTGGAAACAGCTCGTCTAGCAGAGAAAGCTGGCTTGATTTAAGCAAGCTAAGAATGCCAAAAAGTACATAGATTCTGAGTTCAAATCCTAGAAATTCCTTATTATTTCAAAAATTAGAGGTAGTAAGGACCTACTTTCTCAGTCACCTTCCTGCCTCTTGGAAATATTCTCAATTCCTCTTGTCACATGTTCACAAATGTTTCAGTAAGCCAAGTTTTACATGAGGGTGAAAACGTTCTGATGCAGTAACATCTTTAGGGGCTCAGTTTCAGACTACGTTAATGTAAGCCCCCTTCTCTGACCTTTTCTTGCCAAGTCTTTTCTCTCCTCTTCTACAAGCACTTGTTGAACAAAAGGGAAAATAATTTGTGAATATAAGAAGCATTTCTTCCTTAGGAGAAGAAAGAAGGAAAAAACCCCCAAAACCCACAGTGAGGTTTGGAAAGGAAAATCAGATTTTGTCTAGAGAAGATACCTCCATAACTCACTTTTTCCTGCCCCAAATCCTCAAATTAACTCAACACTGAAAAATCTATAGTATAAAATCCCCTTCCTTTAAAGAAAATGGGCAGCTTTATTTCCTGCAGTTGAAGTTACATGACAGCAAGTTAAATTGTTGCTGTTTGGCTGGCTCTTGGCTTCTGCAACATGTGTGAAGGGTTTGCATTTCTATCTATTCACTTTCACCTCAGCCATTGCATGTGGTTTACCTGCATATCTATCAAACAAGGCAGAGTTGGACTACAGCTTCCCTCTGCTGCTTTCTTGTTTTTTGCAAACTAGAGAGAGTATTTATGTCTTTATGCCATTCTCTGCCACACGTTAAACTTTCCAACCTTATTGCTGCCATTCGGATGTCGGTGAAGTGGTAGACACATGTCAAATGGTACCAAAGTCAAGAGGACTAAGTGTAGAGGTATTATTCTGGGTGCACAAGCAGACAACTCAAGTGTCACTCCATTTAGCTGTTAAGGTCGCTGATGCTCTGCACACATCTGATGTCATTTCACCTTGCTGAAAAAACTTTACATGAGAGATAGCTGTCCTCAGGACTGAGCCTGACAGGACTTAACTGCACCAGGGCAGCATTTCTCAAACTTTTCAAAAGTGCAACCTCCTTTTGACTCCTGCACCTTGGTGCAGCCCTGTAATGCGGCACCAGCCCAGCTTCCCTAGGGTGGACAGGTGAGGACAAGCAGCATTGAGTGCATGGATAGCGTGTTGCTGAAGGCTCTGAGCTGCTGCCAAGCCTTGGAGGTAATTCATACCTCTCCTCACTGTGAACCCCTGCGGTCAGTAATTACAGCTTCCTCGGACTTCCTCCTCTAGGAGCTGACCCCCTGCTGGCAAGCACTCCCTTTCCAGCCTTTTTATTTCTCTTTCTGCGTACTTTCACAGTGTTGGTTTAAGCAACTCCACCTTACGGGGATGACATCCTCAGTGTCTAATTGGCCTGGATGACTTTGGTTTGGTTCCTCTCTCATTTTGTCACACACTGTGTCCAGCACGGGAATGTGAGCAGGGCAAAGGATTTGTTTGCACATGCGAGGCTGATCCCAAATGTGGTGCAGTTTCTGCCTGTTTTCTGTGTATCTAACATGTTCCAGTTGTGTGTGATAGAAAGATTACTTATCCTACATCAACTGATTGCCCAACCTGTGTTTATACACTCAAGAAGGGGTAATTTGTCTTTCATTCCTACATTTCTAGGTCTGTATACCTGCTCATACAGAATATGGTCTTTGCTGCTTAGCATTTCAAGGTGTAATTTTTTAGAGGCAAATTGCCTTTGCACCATCCTCATATCAATCCAAGACATGTTTTGTGGCTTCACTTTGACAGCTCCTGCAGCTGGTACGTACCTGCAGAAAGGTGTGCCTGGTCAAGCAGGAGAATGCATACAGTGACCTGTCGGCAAGAGAGGTGCCAGATATTTGGGCTTTAATTGCCTGTAGAAAGGCAATCAGCTGTACTTCCAGACACAAGTGGCCGGTTAGCTTGGAGGGAGTGCAAAGGCAAGCACCCCTGGGAAAAAGGCAGGCAGGATGGTTACCTTCTTCTGCTTTATTCTTTCCATAGCTATAAACATGCTGGGCTTATAAACAAATTAAGTTTTGACTTCTGTCTGGGATCTCTGGCTGGCGGTGGAGTTTGAGAGTCAAGCAACATTTTCCTTTCTTGTGCATCAGAATTAGTAGCTCAATAGTTAAAACTATTTTATGTTGGGGAATGAAGGTAAATTTTGTTGCTGCATTAGGAATTCATGCAGTTCTCTCTTGAAATGTTCACATGGGGAAATACTGTTGAGTTTAAGGTCTCCCAAAGCACTGCTAAGAAATCTGGTAAAACTGGAAGGAACAAAAAAACTAATAGCAAATTCATGGTACTGAATTAATAAAATAAAACTGGAAGGGGATCTAGTCTTTATGTTTAGAGTGAGCAATTTCTTATGATCCGCAGTCAATCTATCTGCCATTGGCACCTTTCTCTGAGTAGATGAGCACCTAAAAATACATGAAGTGACTTCTCAGAATAGAACTGTGCTTTAACAGTCTGGAAAAAAGGATTGATTTATGGGAAAAGGTGACAAGAACCACATATTTATTGCTTAGCTGCTAAGTGAAGAGCTTTCAGAGGTGCCAGCATGTATCAGGGAGCTATAAACACCAGGGAAGAAGACACATTATTTCTCCTGAGTTAAGAATATACAACCAGAAGTCATGAGGCAAAGGAAAGATCATATACTCTATAAAATAGTATCCATGGAGTGTGGTGAAATACCATCTCTCAAGACACAAGTAGCTTGGGCACAGGCTGCTTTGGCAGAGATTTGCTTAGGAGGGCTGTCTCCTGTTTGAAGGACCGTGACCAAGTCCAGCTCCTAGTACCTGGCAGGACTTCTGTGGGACTCAACCCACAGCTCTGTTAGGCTTTAATGAGATCCCTCAGTGAGTTGTTTGCCTTTTCCACCCTCAAATAGCTGTGGTTTATAGAATTATAGAATGGTTTCAGTTGGAAAAGACCCTTAAGATCATCAAGTCCAACCATCAATCCAGTCCTAGAGAGTCCAGTAATGAGCCATGTCCTAAGCCAGACTTACGCTTTGCACCTGCACTGGGCCCCAACACATCTGACCATTAAGTCTGCTGCTCTGCAGTGTTTCCGCCAATTACAGCAACCGCAGGACAAGTGGCAACAGCTTTTTTTTGCGCTACCGCATACCCCAGCCAAGAATTGGAGCTGTTCTTTTCTTTCTTGAAATTTTAGAAAAAAAATTAAGACTTCCTGACTGATTTGGCACTGGAAACAGTTGACAGACACTGGTGTGCCTCTCTGAAAATATCTCTCCCAGTTCAGCGCCTTTCTGAGCACTTTCTGAAGTTGCAGTTACCTTTTCTCTCTCCTCTGCATCATAGTTGTCCGGAAAGACAGGTTTGTTCTGATTTTCCTCATTGATTTCTCTCTCCTCCAAATAAAACTGCCACTTGGCTTCAAAGTAGAACCAGTGCTCCTGATATTCTGAATGCAAAAGAAGTTACTGATGTAGTATTTAATCTAGGCAACATTTTCAGTTCTACTTGAATAAATTTTAAAGTAAATGACAGTATTGACTGACCTAAAAAAATGGATATTTTACAGTAACATACATTAAACAGGTATGCATTTCGATATGAAGTGGAACATCTAACTGGAAACAGAAGATGTGAAAGAAAAAAGAAAATATTTTCAAAACCTTGTGCTATTTTTGCAGCATATTAAAATTATATTAAGATGTATCGAGTTGAGATTTTGAGAAAACTTACTGAGGAACACTCCAAGGAAAAGTTAAGAGTCAACAAAAAGAGATTAAAAAAATCAATTCTATGGCAATTTTGTATTCCTTCACTATAATTAAAGAATAACTAAAAATGCTTGCATGTCCTAAATACAAATTGTCTCCTACCTCAGTTATCAGTTTTTATTAACATAATTTCCCCAATATTTCTGTTCCATTCTCACAGTATTTCTATGTGATCTTTCAGGAATAGGCAGATAGGAAAGACCAAAATTTCCATTTCAAATTAAGCAAAAGGGATAAGTAATACACACTTCTTCTATCTGTACCTGTACAAATAACCTTTTTTTTAAATAACCACAGGTCTTTCTCCTTTTCCTATCACTTTAGGAAGAACATCTTCAATCTTGTTTAACTTTGTGCATGTAAATAATCTTATTAAATTCAGTTTATTTTTCAGCCAGTGTTCTGGTTCAAACTTTTTATAAGGGCTTAAAAAAGCGTGTAAGTCACCCTGACCTGTTAAGCACATACATACGCATCCATCTGCAGAATGGGGGTCTGAGTAAAACCTTGTCTAGGAAGCCAATGAAGTAAGGAATTAAAAATCAGGGAGATGGGCAAGACCTATAAATATGCCAAGGCAAACCAGCAGTTCAGGTCAAGCAATATGGGACTACTGGCATACAGTTTAAAATAAAATTAAGCATTGCTGCTTTTTCCCCGTCTCTGTCCTGCTTGATTGCTTAATTTTGTACTGAAAGTGGCTGAGGAGCAGGCATGCAACCAAACTGTTTCTGTGAAGGATGTAATCTGATTTTGCTTTAAAATGCCATACAGGTGACCCTCTTTGGCAATTCAGATCTTTAAAGTGGTTTGACTCCATATGAAAAAGTCCAAGCTATCTTGCAGGACCTGGTACTTTGGTGAGGTTGCTGGTTTCCCGGCCCCAGACAGAGATGAGCCTTCAATCACGTGGCCCTATATGCCTGGCAATGCCCAGCTGCCCTTTTTCTGAGTCCAAGCCCCAGTTTTGCCTGATTACTAGGCAGACATTCATTAGAACCCTAAAAAAAAAGAGGGTGTATAGAAAAACATAATGAAAATGCTCTCACAACCATCAAGCCAAGGAGAGCATCCTGAGGGAAAAAAAGTCATGCAAAGAAAATGTTACTGGTTGACGTAAACTACTGACACCCATTCCTTCAGCTGGTTACAAGAGTGCTTTTAGACATGCAGGTGACCTGATAGGTGTCTGTCTTTGTGGAGGCTTTTTCCTATTTCCCCTGACCATAAGCCATGAATGCCTCAAAAATGAATGTTTTCTATGCAGCACCTCAACAAGCAAGGAAACATGATTATTCCAATGTACAGGCACAGAAACAAGGAAATTGAGCAGTTGCAGGAGACTTTGGTTGTGTGAATGGCCTATAGCAAGGTCAAAAATCCCGTGCTGCTGGCCCTAGTGAGGCTCTGCCCCATCCCTTGAGCCCAGCCTGAGAGGATGGTCACATCCAGGTCCATGGGAATATCTGGCAAGGAATTTCAACTGAATATCAGAGAGGGGTGCTGAGTTGACCCCTGTGCAACTGAACACTGTGTTTGTTATCCATGGGGGATAACACAGCTAAAAAGAAGTTTTCTAAAACTGGAGGGCTCTGTCTGTCAGGATTTCTTTGCAGTGCATCTCACCAGCCAAGGAGCTTAACTTTAATGCAGGAGACTTTTCCCGCTACCAAAATAGGACGAAGCTCAACAATATGGGTGCTAGCTGGAGAGCGTGCCTCAGGAGTCCAGCATGCATACCTCCACGCTGAGGGGTCCTGCTGGGGTGGAGTGACAGGGACCTGCTGCGAAGCCACTCAGAGAGGAGCTCACTCACAGTAATCCTGCACCTGCTTCTCATAGGTCTTGGCTAAAAAAATCCTGGTGTGCGATGAGGAGCGGATGAAAATGTGGGGTCTTTTAGAAAGGCTCCCTGCTGTTCCTTTCAGATTTTAAAGTGGCAGCTTGCTTTCCTTCCTGGGTAAATCTTCATTTCTGATTGCTCTTGAGTAAAGATTTCCATTGAATTCAATCTTTCTCTACAGCTGTCCCTTGAGTTTAACAGAAAAAAAATACCTTTCCTTGATGTTTTAATGTAATGGTACTCGTCTGTCCACAGCAGGTCTCACCATTACAAATGCATCACTCCCTGGCAAGAGGGAGCTGAAATACCTTTGCTCTGAAGATCAAATACATTAGTAAAGTAGCAATATCAAGTTCAGTAGTTGCATAATGCTCAATAGCCTTAAAACTTGTTCAGAAGAGCAACAAATTGTATCTGAATTTGTCATCAAAAGTGAACTCTCGGTCAGGAGCATCTGCAGGGGAACTTTTCCTGGAAAAAGGAGCAGTGTCTGTGGGTGTTCTTATGGAAAATATTGGGCCATGCTAATTGATGGAGGGGAGCTGAATAATTCATATCTCAGCAGTCAGTTTGCCTAGTAACCTGCTAAGTATCATTTCCTCGCTGCCCCCCACCAGCAATCTTTGAAAACTTCCTAAAAATAAAACTGTGCTGTAGGCCACTGTCATTGTTATTCCTCTTTGTATCTTTGCTGCCAATATACCAGGCACCTAATGGATGGTAGAAGAAGGCAGCACCACCTGGGAAGAGCTTACAGTCTGAGCAGAGAAAGCCGAAAGAGACGGAAGAGAAGGGGAAGCAGCAAAATGGGGACCCTGGGGAGTGACATTTTGTCAGTGTCTTTCTAGATGAACATAGTTTTAAGAAAACAACTCTTTTGATTTAGACATATTACCTGCCATGTGGCGAATGGTTTTCTTGCAGTATTCTTCAGCCATTGGCACAACCTTCATCATCTCTCTTCCCCACTGCACAAGGGGTTTCCCTTGTATTGCATATGCCACAAAGAGAGCTGTGCATAGGGACCCTAGAAAGCCTGGAATTCATAGATAACAATGATTACTAATGTGCTGTCTGTGCTTTTACCATCCTTATCATGTCCTTCATAAAAATCATTAGTGGAATGCTTCATGGATGTCGGGTAGATTAGCAAACGCACATAACCTATCTGTCTGCATGTTGAGGCTAATGCATAGTGCCTGTTGGTTTACAACTTATTTTACATAGAAGGCAGCTTCTGTTCTTAGTGGTGTAATGTAACAGAAACTGAGGTAGGGATCAAAAATAAACATCATCCACTAGCGTGGTACTGAAAATCTTCTAACTGAAGTCACATGAAATAATTGACTTGTGCGAAGTGATTCGGTTACAGGCTATATCACCTTGCCTGCAGAGTCATCCAGCTCAAGGACTGTGGCTGCTAGATTTAACACTATTTCTGGCTCATTTTACTCTAAGGGGACAAGTCCATGTCTTACTTGGATAATTGCTTCTTTCCTCTAAGGGGACAAGACCATACTGGGACCAGTGCTGTTTAATATCTTTCTCAATGATATAGACAATGGGATAGAGTGCAAGTTAGCAGTTTACACAAAGATGAGTGGTGCAGTTGACATGCCAGAGGGATGGGATGTCATCCAGAGGGACCTGGACAAGCTGGAGAGGGAGCTGGAGGCACATATGAACCTCATGAGGCTCAACAAGGCCAAATGTGAGAACCTGCGCCTGGGTAGGGGTTATCAATACAGGTTGGGAGGTGATGTGATAGAGAGCAGCCCTGCAGAAAAGGACATGGGGGTACTGGTGGACAGAAAGCTGAACATGAGCCACCAATGTGCACTCACAGCTCAGAAAGCCAATTGCATCCTGGGCTGCATCAAAAGAAGTGTGGCCAGCAGATCAAGGGAGGTGATTCTGTCCTTCTGCTCTGCTCTGGTGAGACCTCACCTGGAGTACTATGTCCAGCCTTGGAGTTCCCAACACAAAAAGGGCACTGAAGTGCTGGAGTGGGTCCAGAGGAGGCCACGAAGATGATCAAAGGGCTGGAGCACCTCTCCTATGGGGACAGGCTGAGAGAGTTGGGTTTGTTCAGCCTGGAGAAGAGAAGGCTCTGGGGGGACCTTATAGTGACCTTCTAGTTCCTGAAGGGGTCCTACAGGAAAGCTGGGGAGGCACATTTTAGAAGGGTATGTAGTGACAGGACGAGGGGCAATGATTTTAAACTAGATTTAGATTAGACATTAGGAAGAAGTTCTTTACTATGAAGGTGGTGAAACACTGGAACAGGTTGCCCAGAGAGTTGATGGAGACGCCATCCCTGGAGATATTCAAGGTCAGGCTTGATGGGGCTCTGAGCAACCTGATCGGGTAACACTGCCCCTGCTTACTGCAGGGGAGTTGGACTGGATGACCTCTAAAGGTGCTTTCCAGTCCAAAGCCTTCTGTGATTCTGTGATTCTAAGTCCGTGTCCCCTTAGAGGAAAGAAGAAATTGTCCGAGTAGGATATGCTGTCTGCTTGCCTAGCTAGGTCTTCCACTTTGGATACAAATATACTTAAGGTGAACTTTCCATTAACGGGCATTCAACACTTCCATGACATCAGAAACAGAGGGGCTCATTTCTCGTACTTGCTTGTGCTCTTGGCATTCTGTCAAAGGCAACAAAACCAACCCAGTGCAATGTGCAATAGAAGGTTAAGAAAACAACTCAGTCATTTAAATAAGCCCCAGGTGAGCAAAGTATTGATGTGTGTGCTTCTCTCGGTGCATGGGTCTGAAAGCATTCACTCATGCATAGAGGTAAGCACGAACTTCATGTGTTTTGCTGAAGGTAAAACCAAATTATTTTAGAAGGTTCCAAGTCTAGATGAGGCGATTACTCATTTTCTCTGCAAGACATGCAGTACTAGGTCAAGACAAAGGTACATCTAACCCAGGATCCAACAGATGCTTTCAGAGAGAATAAAAAATAGGTAGAGCCAGCTCAAAGCATCACACTTGGACAGACAGCATCTAACCCCACTGCCATAAAGATCCTTGGGCGTCACACTCAGCATGAGGGTGGCAGCAGAGGGTTTAGAGGGTGAAGGAAAGGGCTAGCAGGGAGCAGTGAGTGGTGAAGAGGATGCTAGAGGCTTGGACATGCCCAGAAGGTTTTTGGGGGGGGCTGGCGGTCTCTTTTTGACTCATCCCCAGGTAGCCCCCTCCTTCTGCTCCCAACAACTCTCATGTAGCCTCCTGCTACAGCTTCTCACCAGGGAAGAAAGCAAGCCACAGCCAAGGTTTCTGGCTCTGTAAATAATGCCAGTACAGAGCAAGCCTAATTGGTTTGGCTTCTCCACTCCCCAGAGCTTCTGGACTAGCTTAGGGGCAATTTTAATTACACAGCTTGATTGCTTTTAACAGCGACAGCCCTCCTCATCCGCTTGCCTGATCCCTTTTGAACCCAGGCATGCCTGTGGACTTTGCAGCTGCCTGTAGCAGCAAGTTCTGCAACTTCACTACACACGACATGGGGAAGTGTTTCCTTTGTCTGTCTGTTTCCATCCTGACTGATATGTCAGTGAGGTTTTCCTTGTCTTTGAGTTATGGGAATCATAACTGATGTTTCCTTAGCACCTCTCAGGATAGTAGTGAGGTCCATGGTAACCCTTCCTTCTCTCTCTTCCCTGCCTCCCCACTGTGCCACGTGTCTCTTTTCCCAGATGAAAACTCCTTCTGGGTGTAATTTCTCCTTGTATGGAGGGCATTTGACAACTTAGATGCTCCTTGCTGCCATTTTCTGGCTCTAGTAAGTCCTTTCTGAGGAGGGAGACCGTGAACTGCAAGCAGTCTTACTGTTGCTAATGCACCGTGGACTTTATATATTGGCTTAATGATGTTTTCTGCTTTGCTTGGAATTCTTTTTCTCTAATTTTATGCCATCTTGATGGCTTTTCTGACTGCTTCAAAGCACTGAGCATGTTGAACATGTCGACATTCATTATGGTTTTATTTATTGCTGTTTAAAGTAGACAGAATGAATACATGCTTACATAGCATAAAATTATCAGAATGACAGGCGTGAATATTCAAAGCAACATTAAAGCTACTTATTTATGTTTCGTTTAGAGAATGTTTCAGTTTGTGTCCCAAAATATGTGGAGTTATATTTTTTAGCTTTCTACCTTTACCTACAGTGATTGGATACGACAAAATCTGTCAAGAGAAAAATGTTATTATCCCCTGAACCGTAAACTTGGATGATAACAGTGAGTCATCTAGATATGAATCCTAAAATTTGATCAGGAGAAGTGGCACGAATATGCTTTGGGCAAGACAGGTTGTGTTTAGTTATTGAGATTTTAGGAGGGGAATCTCCTATGCCTGGGATTGTTGATTGCAACCTCACGTAAGTAATATAAAAGTAGTATGTACATGTATAAACTGTCCAAGCATAACACAAACCAAATCCTTGAAGTCTGCAAAGCAGAAGCAATTTAACCAAATGAATTCACAGGAGCTGTATTAGCCATATAGAAGTGAAAAGCAGCCTTAGGAACTTCAGCACACCGATATGTCAGCGTAAAGTACCTGTAGGATGGTTGTGAGTCATTCGTCCACACTCAATGCTCACTTCAATAAGTGACTCCAGCCTCTCTGGCTTCCAGTACCGCATCCCTAAACACATGGCTTTTGTGGATGCTCCAAATCCAGAACCTAAAGTAAAAAGGGAAAGCCAAGAATGTAAAAGGAATGATACACAAGTATGTTAATAAAATGTGAAATAAGTACATTTTATTAATTCAGCTCATGTGTAGGAACTCCTCAAGGAATGGGAAATTAGCATGCAAAGCAAGTTACAAGTTTTGAAAGTTTCTTGAGAGGAACTTTGCCTCTACACAGTTATTCTGGTTTTACAGGTACATCCCAGTATTTTCAAGTGCTACAAAGAGCATAGTGGGTTCAGAAAGCAGAGTGCTCCCCTGTTCACAACACTTGTTTGATTCAAACTCTCATGCCATCTTTATTCATTCTTGGCTGACACCACCTTTTTGCTTGTTCCAGATACCAGCACTGGAAACAGAAGTTTGAGAAATAGATACACTTTTACTACACCTAGTAGTAGTCTTCATGCTGAAGGCACTAATTAAAACACTTTATGAGAGCATCACAGTTGATCTTACTATTTTAATGCGTGTTTCATCCTAGAGGGCCCCACAAGTAGTTCACAAAATAGGTTCTGCTACATACAAAAATAATGTGTCCAAAAAGGAACTAAAGGTGACAGAGCCAGATCCTCCAAAGTTAGGCAATGTCAGAACTGTGGTTTTCCATGTGACCTGAACTCAGTGCCTGTGAGCACACTCATTATGCTACAGCCTGCACTTGCTGAGCTTGGTCTTGGGAATTTCCTCCTCATGCAGCACAGAGTTTATTTATTGAAGAGCTAATTCAGTATTTCTTTTAATCCTCAGCATTGTGTGCACGATCCCAGCTGTTCAACTTTTAAACACTGCACTGAACAGAGAGTTAAATTTACTAATGGCTTTCTCTGCAGTACTTATCACAGTAATATCAGGATCCCACAGAAGTTTTAATGAGCTTATCTTCACAAAGCACCAGTGAGGTGATTATCTCCTCTTTGCAACTGGTGAGTCAATGCCCAAAAAAGCATTAACTCATTGCAGGCATCCATCCTGTGATGGACAGCATTCGATTTTTCAAAGTATCTGGCATTTTTCAGCACTATCTTTGTTCAATCACACTTCCCAGTGCTCTTGGGTATAGGTGTAAGCAACCAGCATTTCCCTACTTGGTCCCTGGAAGATAAAGGGTGTATATTTGTCACCTAAATTTAGCATCTGTGGAACCTGCAATCAGAACAGAGTGTCCCTGTCTTTCCCTGACAGGCAGCATAGAGAAAGGTTGTGTCTCCATTAGCCGGGACAATAACGTAGTAAGAGCAATTCATGGACCAGAGTGAAGTGAAGCAGCAGATGCCAGGGAGCCAGGATCAGGGTTTTTATCCACCTACCTTCAGAGGAACCCTCAGCTGCTCCCCTGGGCTGTGCCCACTGAGGGTGCAGAGCACCAGGGGCTCTTCTGGAGCACTGATTGCCATTTAGTGTCATCCCAAGTGGCTTGAGCTCAGGTGTCCTAAAATCATGAGCGTGATCAAAGTGTGTTAGGGGATGCGGCAGGAAGATTTGCTTCAAAAGCACTTGCCTGAGCCAAAGTGTAACACTAACGTAAGCCACCCATTGCATCTCCAAGTGCAATACAGACCAATCTGAATTTCTCTCTCTTGAGAAGAGCTCCTCTTCTCCCCCAGGAGCAGTTGTCCTGAGAGAGCACCTTGGTTAGGTGATCTAATGAGATAACTGAAGACATTTCTTCCCTTCCTCTTCAGAGCCCAGTGTGCAAATTTTGCGCAAAATAACTCTTCCAGTGTGTTAACCACCAAGGGCAGCCTAAAAAAAGGCCAGACATCTGATAAATGTGACATGATAGTCTTTGCAAAACTCAGTTTTGTTCCCTGCGAGCTCAGAGCTTGCTTCGTCCTTGCTAGCCTTCTTGATGCTAGTGAAACAGAGCCTCTCCAGGACACCTTTGACCACTGCTCCTGATGAAAAGGCTGGACACTTGCCCTGCAAGTGGTATGTTTGCTCCTGTACCTCATATAGCTGCAGCTATAGTGTCTGGTTATTAAGGAGCCAGGAACAGATAAAACTGTCTACCCCACTCATCACATATAAACCACAAGGAGGAGCCAGGAAAGAAATCCAGTCTTCCAGAGCACTTCCAGTCAGCTTAACTGGGAGAACAAATCTTCTCCTGCTTGCAAGGCCAAATTCTTTGTTAAAACATCTGGTGCTCTATGGTGGAGTCTTCTTCACTGTGGAGTCCTGGTTCCTCCAAGAGACACAATCCATGCTGGTTATCCAAGAGGGAAGGGTGTTGTGTGAACCAGAGCTGCTAATTAAATAACAAGTTACATATCCAAACTGCAGGATGCACTACAGTAAACTGACTGCTGGTGTGTGTGTGCTTTGCAACTTCATTGTGTTCATCCAGTCTAGCAAGTTGTATTAAAACTTTCCACAGAATTAGGCAAGCCAACTTGGTAATAAAAAATTTCATCGCTTGAAGTCACATCAAGCCTAGACAGGGCTCCAGGTGATTAGCAGCTGTCAGCTGCCATGCCTCTGTATCTACTATTTGAATCAATGGATTTTGGTTCCAGCTCTCAAACGTCAGAGATTCTCTTCTGAAGAATTTCAGTTCTTGGCAATGAAACAAAAGATTTTTACCATGTCTAAGAAACAGCAGACTCATCTGCATCAAAACTTTAAACAGCTGCTGACAGACAGAGGCAAACACTCAGCAGTGAAAAGTTTTGCCTTGAGCTCATCAACATCATAAATTGGAAATAAGCTCTTAAAATTGAAGGTGTTAGACAGCCTTGGGCAGGTCTTCTGGCAGTCACGGAAATCTCACCAGCCTTTAACATAATCCGGGTACTTCTGCAGTGAGTGTGACAATGAACATGGCAGCAGGTGGCAAAGAGACGCACGAGGCAGTTTGACTAAAGAACTCTGTGCATTTGGCTACACCCACATGGATCTGAGCAGAAGAGCTTCATGTAAGCAATGCAAAATTACCTAAACTACAATTTCATTGTTTCATGAAGGCTGGCACCTGAATTCTTGCTAGAAGCGAGGTAAGATAGAATGACCACAGGAAAACAGTATTTTGGCTCCTGCCCACCCAAGATACTATCCGACTGCTAGGTATTCAATGCTCATGAGATGTTCTTACCTGAGAAGAATTTTGTGAAAATTCAATTAAAAAGTTAATTATGTCCATAGCAGCGTCAGGTCCCACAGTAGGCTGAACATCTCCATTTCAGGCCACTGGTCCTTTTGCTCTCAGGGTGAAAAAAAAAGGCTTCTTGAAACGTTTGTGACGGTATTTAAGACCAGATGGAGAAGGTGGGCTTTAGAAATTCATGGCAGAAATTCATTTTAGATCCTTATAGCCCAGAGTATCTCAAGAGCAAATAGTTCATCATGTAAAGCTGAGGAGGAGAAAGTCTAAAAGAAGAGATGCTGCTCCAATGCAGCAATGGGACAGGGAACAGCTGTACTCCACGACTGGAGGTACTGAGAGCTGCTTAGGGTCAGCAGCAGCTCCCACAATCACTTTGACCAAATTTTACTCCCTGTCAATCAGAAGACATATGACGAGTGCCAAAAGCGTGCTATTTCATATCTGCCTGGCTAATAGTGGGGTAGGAAGAATAAAGAGAGAGGGGATCCTTTTCCCTTGCAGCAGCTGTTGTGAGGAGCAGGGGCCGAGTGAGGGATGCTTTTTGTGTCAGAGAAAACTGACTGCTGAGACCCAGAAATAGCTATGGCATTGTGCCGCCGGATCTCTGCCACGATGTTGCATCAATATGCAATGGTGTGGAGCGGTGCTGATACGTACTGCAGCAGTAGAGCATCACACCGACACAGCTGTGTGTGCTGTCATCATCTTGTGGCTGTTTAGGTCCACCTCCTCTCATGATGTGGTGTCTCAACAGGCTTTCAAGATTAATTCCACTATGTGCGTATGGGTATATGGAAATATGTGTGCACGTAGCTGCATACATGTTATTTAACTTGAAGTAGGAAATCAATTAATCATAAAATGAAATGGTCATAATGAGCAAGAAAGAGGCATTCATGGGTAGGGAGATAGGGTTAGGAATATTAGGGATTATCAGCAAAACAGTCATACATATTAGCAGAGCATCCCCCTGCAGAAAAGTCTGTTTTCCCTCAGTGAACACATTGGTGCATAGACATTTCACAGGCTCAGCTTTTTGTTTCCAATCTGCCATCACTGAAAAGATCCAAGACTACAAACTTATAAATGAATAATAGCAGAAAATAATTCTTAAAATAGCCATTAAACTCAAGGACAAAGATCTGGACCCAGAGGCACTGAGCCAAGAACAAAGTCTCTTTAAATAGATGTTAAAGAGGGAAGGTTTCATTTACGAGAGGACATAGTGCCCTACAGAAGGAATTCCTGGCAGATCCCTTGCCATCCTCAGGCAAACATGGAAATGTTTCGGGGGTAGTAGCCTTTGATGTCAGGGGAAAAAAGGAAACAATTTCCATGTAGCCACAAAGGCTGAAAGCATGCATTATTCAACCCAGGGTCTATAAATGGGAAGTGGTACTGTACCCTTTTCATTGAACGGTGTGTGCCAAGCGAGAAGGTAGTTGTCTGGTTTTAATTCTCTGCAGCCTTCGATGGTAGCAGGGTCTGGTCGCCTCCCCGAGAGCTTGTCGACAGCATCCACATAGCGTTTTACCAGCTCTCGATACAGGTCTTCCAAACACCAGTACTCTGCTCGGAGGAGGGAAAAGAAGGTTGCTATGTGAAGACAGCACTGAAAAGAAGCAAGCGAGCTCACTAAGCATTTAAGAAATGTTCCTATTTCCACTTCCAATATACCGAGTCATGTTTCTGGTGCCACTGTCAACACATTTTTACACACCACGAGAGCAAGCTGGAGGGAGCGCAGTCTCGTCTCTCACTTCTTATCTTTTCCTGTGTTCCCTTCCACTTTCAATGCCTTTAATCGGACAGATGAAGGCATTCTGCTCGTCAATAGCAGCTGCTCAGGGACTTTATTTAGGCTTCATGGTGTGAAGTATTCGCAGAGGTGTCTGACTGTAAGGCGAGTGTGTTTCTGTCGTGGAGACTGGATGTGCGCCTGAACTCAGCCTATGTCTTTGCTGGCATTTGCAGATATTAATCTAATTCAAAAACAAAGCCTATTTTAAAAAATTACTGCTAAATTATTTCAAAGAGGTATGATTATTAAACACAAAAGAAAATTAGTGGCCTTATTTTTTAATTTGTATTCTATTTTGTCTAAAATTTTTAGATCTTTTGTGTAGGGATCCAAATATCTTATATCAGTACAGTAACCAGAACAGCGAGCTTTTATAAAAATTATAAAAAAAGATCTGTAAGAGGAGTAAATACCTACAGTCTGTAGTATTTCCATCAAACAGATTTCTTTCTGGAATAAGTTCACTAGAAGTATCTATTTATTGATTATTTTTAGCAAGGCCTATGGTCTTGCCTAAGCAGAAACTTTCCCCCTGTTAAACATGCACTGTTTCTTCAATATAGATGCTGTTGTGTGTTGCTGGACTTGAAGAGCCCTGCCCTCAGCTCTTGATAAGGAAAAGCTTCCACAGGCATCTATTACAGCTGTGTAATCAGTGGGAACTGAAGAGGCCATTGGGATTTGTTTTTTTATGTCATTTATATGCACTTCAAAAAAACCAGTTTAATACTTGGTTTGACTCACAGATCGAATGATGCAGCAAGGCATGTTCTTCTAAAAATATTTTAATTTTGTCAAAGACGGTGATTTCTTGAAATCCACAGAAGAGGTTCAACTTAAGAGAAAGTTTGGAGCGCCATAAGCCAGAGCCACTCGAAAGTACTGGTTGTGTAGACAGATGAATAAATAAAATGCAGGGTAAAACCAAGATTCCCCTCCTTTCACATAAAAAAAGCTCATATCAGTTACGCTGGCCATCCCCACATACAATCCTAAAAGAACAAGATACTTTGAAGCTGCTGGCTCTTTCCAGATTTAGGCATCAGATGTCAGTTTATCCAAATGGGAGCCAGGAGCAGGATTTACCACCTGGCTGCTTCTGCAGAAGCCTTGTCCCCAGAGCCAGAGCCCTGTGGTCCAGCAGCTCTGGGCTGCCCAAGGCCACTGTGGTTCCCACACACGGAGCCAGGCTGCCACCTCAGCCGTCATGTCAACAGGATGGGTTTCTTCTGTAGAAGTGAACCCTTTTTTTTGTTAAACCCATGTTTAAGTCAGAGAGGAAAAGGTTTTCCTCATTGCAAGGGTAGTTCCCCTGCTTTTGGTGATGTGGTTTTTGTTCCTCTCTTAC